CTTCTACACCAAGCACTTCCGGCCTAGATGCGCACTTGAGAGCACCACCGTGTCTGTCAGGTAATTTTGACTGCATTAGTCGAACGAAACCCATCCGAATAGTCACGTCTTCAGAGCATCTCAAGTGTAGCTCTTCACGGAAGAAGATACCTCCGTCGGAGTCGGGTGCATTTCGCGCAGTCCTTTGGTTTGCTGCTGCACCCGGCCAGAGAGCAGCAGTTTTCGATGTCGTTTATTATTCCAACCGCTTTCTATCACCACTTTGGAACGTAAGAATCCACTCAATCAACGTTCCTCCTCCGCTTGCTTGTCCGTTTACTCCCCGCTGGCTTGCTCCAATCTCTGAATGCTAAAGCTGATGAATGGATGAAAAAAAAAAAAGTGCATTCGATTCTGGGACCCAGAAAGTGCAGTTTTTTCATGAATGAAGTTGATTCCGTTGGCTGCTGAACGTGATGTTTTCATCATCGTCATCCCACGTCGTCGTCGATGTCGTCGACATGAGAGCTGAGCCCTCGTGGGGGTGGTTAGAATAACAAAATCCCGACACTTCTCTTCTCAGCGAGTTTCTGACAGTTTCGTCTTCATTCACCGTTTGCTATTGCCACTGACTGACGACGGCTTCGGCTGGAAATCAGCTAAATGCTATTTATAGAAGATGAGCAACTTGCGTGAAATGGCACCTCCATCCTCGCGAATGGCAATCAAATTCAAAAGATATGCATAAATTTTAATTGGCATTTTGGTTGACTACACAGCTTCCAACTCGGATGGTGCTATCAAGCGAAAACATGCGACTTTCAGCCGTGCAGGGAAACCGGGTGGGTACTTTGTGTCGAAAATAGATAACATTGAAGAGGGATGAAGCGGTGGATGGTGTTGGGGAAAATCGCTTTTCCGACTCGTACCATCATCGCCAACGAACGAACGCTCGAAAATCGATGAATGATGATGGCTCGAATATTTATGATGCTCTTGCTGGTGCCATTCTCCGGCAAACAGACACGGGAAGGCTCTCTGCTGTGCCATCCGTTTTTCTGTCATTGTTGTTATTCGAATGGAAGAGTGCACAAATTCATCATGTATATGGCAGCGTGTGTTATTATAAAATGGCACATTTGGAAGGCATTCAAGGTTCGGGGTGGGTGGGCCAAGTGGACGGAGCGACATATAAAATATACTGTTTCGTCGGAACGAAATCACATTTTAATACAAACAGCTCCCCATCGTCGTCCTTGCTTGGTTGTACAATTACGTTCTGGTTGGGTGGAGCGTGGCACACTGGGCTGAAATAGAATCCATTTAGACGTATTTTGAATATCCAAAAGCTTCGGCTCCGGAAGAACTGCTGCTTTAACATTGGACACGATTCGCTTTGGCTCTTAGTGAGGCCGCACAACCGATGGATGATACGCCGGAATATGTATGTGAAGGCATGTGCGCTCTCACAGCTCAGCGGCCTTCGCTGTACGGATGCCATCCAACGTCGTCAGCCAGCGTGTGTTGGAACATATCGATGGCGGTGATGATGGTGATGATGGTGATGATGATGATGATGATGATGATGCTTCGAGCACAGTACATGTAGGTAAAAACATTTTCGGCTACTACTGAACGGTGAATGGTTGGAAAATTTATGATGACACGCCGGTGAAATAATGCCGAAGCTGTTTGCTGGCTGATAAGGAAATTTTGTTAATTTCTGACTAACTGAATGACAGCTCTCGGGGCTTAGTTTTGCATTTGAAGCGCTTATGCACAAGGAATGATGTATTATTCATTTCTTAAGAATTTTTGAACATTCAGAACGATTTGTCACAGGATAGGCCTCGCAATCAATTCTTCCCATTAGAACATCGGCGATGGTCAAGGCTTTGCTCCTGCCCCTCTCTCGTACCTGGGAAACTGAAGCGGATCTCTCAAAGGCAGTCTAAGAAGCACAAAATGAAGAAGGCAACTTTGAACAAATTCGATTTTCTCGGTACTGTTGATGTAGTTTGGATTCCAAACCGCAGTGCAGGCTAACATACTTTTGCATAGGGGAAATGGCTCTAATGTTGACCTATGGATCTAAGATTGGGCTCATCGCTAAAAATATGCTATTTATCATTTTTTTTCTGGATGAACGCGTCATTGGGACAGTACTAATGGATATTTTTGGTCGCTATTGAAAATTTAGTCGATTGCTGAATTTATGTATGGGCCCAAATTAGGGGCATTTACCCTATATAAATTAATAAATGATCAATAAAAATTGATAAACGCTCCTTAACAAACTTTAAAAAATATATTAGAAATTCTTAACATGAGTGTTAATAAGGAACGTCGATGACAAACTCAAGGAATTTCTGCCAGGAAATCTGAGTCGAATACAATGGGTATGCTGACGAGAATCCTTAAGGGAATCATGAGGATAATTTTAATGGAATTTTTCCAAGTAACATTGCAAGTTTTATCGAGGTTTAAAAGCATGCTACAAGTATTAATCATGGCCTCATAAAACCAAAATTGCTACTTGGGTTTGACGAATGTTTGTATGGAGATAAATTCTAATTAAATTTTAAGCAAGTCAATGGGAATTCTGCTAGTAGAAATCTAGCGATTTCAAGGTCAATTTTGTATAGTGCTTAGGAAATATTGAAGTGAATTCCAAGATACCTCTGGCCTTACATCCAAAGCAGTTCTAAAGTGAATCATCAGATAAGTTTGAGAAGAGTGTCAAGGTCAGTGCTGAAAAATCTCGACAATGCACGGTGATAGTGACACGCTTTGTGCTTTGGTCACTCATTTGAGCTAAGAGTCACAGTCAAGGCAAACCATGTCAATTGTCAGTGACAATTCGTTCAGTGACGAACATGTACATATTTTTATTAGTTAAATTTGTAACGAAATTAAATGACTTGAGCAACACAATTACATGGAGCCGTTAATGTGAACAAGCATCTACGTCCTGAACTGCTTCGATAACAATAATGTGACACAGAATATACGAAATTACACTTTTTGCTACCAGGTGATTCTTTGGCATTGACGAAAAAATGAATGAGATTTTGACGAAGGTTTTTTCGAGGATCAAGTCTGTCAGTGATTATGTGACGAACAATTTGGTCAATATCGCGCGAAAGTCTGTCAATGACAATGACAATTCTCAGCACTGGTCAAGGTAATTCTGAAGGATATACTAAAGAAATTATCAAGAATATTTTAAGGCCATTTTTCAAAAAAAAAAAAGAAAGAAAATAGAGACTAAATTAAGTGAAATCTTCTATCCAGTTTGAGAGAATTACATATTTATAGAATGATTTCTTATACATCTATTAAGATAATGCATACTAATATAAATGCCGAGAATGCCTAGAATGCATTTGAAAAAGGTTGGAGATTATCAGATTATTGGAGGGGAATTTATAATGATGGAATTCTAGGATGATTCAAACGCAACTCTTTAAAAATTATGGAGAGTTCCAAGGAAAGTTCGACTAATAAAATTGATCACCATCATTCCAAACAACATACAGCTCGCCATCCTCATCTATGCTGAACACCCTAATAGCTCAGCATTACTCAACCATCACGACAAAACGGTCCTCTTCAGCACTACCATAAATTTGTTAAAGAGTATTTTTAGACACTTGTCAAAGTCATCAATCGGATGTCAGTTCCCATATGTTCAAATCTAACATAACATGTGTTTTGAAGTAACATTAGGGTGAAATTTCAAAAATCGATTTTAATTCTTAATACTTCAATCGATAGGATTTTTTCCTATTTCTACGAATCTTTTAAAATTAAGACTATCATTTTTCTAAATGTTTCTATTGAAAATTGCACGGATGTGCAACTGTTGCTATGACAATTCAAATTATCACCGATTGCCTTCGATCAGTGCTTTCCCTAACACAGATTTCAAAGTTTAATTCCATCCGGTCTCATCGAACGGTGTTTATTCAATCACCGCGTAGTGAGTGGTGGTGTTCTCCAGTATACAACGAAAGGCTCCTCGCAAGCCGCTATCTATCAAGGCTGCCCCCAACCAATGTTCGTCGTGAGCCGCTGTAGCCCATAATATGCCAAGCTCGTCACCCTCGTTCCAAAAGACCTTCAACTTGCCAGCCTCATCTGTGTTGAACACCCCGATAGCTCAGCATTAGCAGCATACAGTATATGAACTGCCTCTCCTACGGCCATGGCACCAACAACTTCCATATGAAGACAAACTGCGGCAACTGTACTGGAACTCACGCAACTGCGTCATGTGAGCAAGATGATGATATCGAGCCAACGTGTGTCAACTGCGGGGGAAACCACCAAGCCTCAAATCGTGGATGTTCCAAGCGAGTGGAGTTCATGAATATCCATCAGAAGGCTACAATCAACAATCAGCCCGGTCGCCTCCGTAATCACCATTCGCCTCCTGTACTCACGGAAGTCCAGTAGCCAGCTCTCCAGCCCCGTCGACATGTTCCGAACCTAGCCCCGCTTCCACTCAACAACCAACAAGCCAATCCTGCGAGTATACATATGGTTCCCAACAGTCGGACAGTTCAGCATCGTCTCGCTGCTGCTGTGGCCCAGCCAATTCCAGGTTGCTCCACCGCCCCTGGTTTATCATACGCTGATGCTATCTCAGGTGAGTCTGTCGACGATCCTCCGTTCTCCTCGGAGGAACTTGTGACGCTCGTGGCAATCATGTTTTTAATTCTGAGATTCACCACCTTCAAACACTCGAGGAGCGAAAGACGTCCCCGTGGAAAGGTTCAGAGTTGCGATCAAACCACCAGATCATTCGTGATTTGGCCACCTAGTTTTAGTAGTTTGGTAGGTTCCTGTGCTTAAAGTAGATAGTGTGTGGTACAATATACTTTGTGTGGGTTTTTCGTCTGGTGAATTGTATACTGTTCTAACTGTTCGCGTTGTTCGCGACATACCGGCCACCAATGAAATAACTATTTCATTCAAATTAACTTATACTCTAATTCAAGATCACTTCTTAATCTAAGTCATGAGGATTCTTCTGGGATAGCAGCGGTTGCTGCGTTTCCATCTGGGCTGCCAGGCACTTCACCGGAAGTGGAGGCGGAACTATCTTCGCTGTCGGTTGGTAGAAGACAGATCTTCACAATCGATCGGTCGAAGATTGCGTCGGATGCCAGTCTGACGGTCACCACACGGACGAGGCCATCCGCGCCGGGATGGACGTTTTCGATTCGACCCATGCTCCACCTGAACGGTGGTAGGTTGTCGTCCTTCAGGAGTACCAGCTTGCCAATCAGAACATTCGGCTGCCGGTAGTAGTGCTTCGTACGCTGCTGCAGTTGATGAAGGTAGTCCGTCGACCAGAGTTTCCAAAACGTTTGGGTTCTGCGCTGCATCTCCTGCCCAAGTGAAACCGGGTGTTGGGAACTTGGGCAGGGTCGGGCTCCGGGATTGATTGGAGTGCTGATCCGACCAGAAAGTGTCCCGGTGTGAGGACTTCTATGTCACTTGGGTCCTCGGATAGGGCGGTAAGTGGGCGAGAGTTAAGACAGCTCTCTATCTGGCAAAGGATGGTACGCATTGCATCGCTTGACAAGGATTCCAAGCCAACGACTCGCCGAAAGTGGTGCTTGAAAGCCTTGACCGCGGCCTCCCAAAGGCCGCCGAATGTCGGAGCGTTCGCAGGGATGAAGTTGAACTGAATGGATGATTCAGCGCAGAACGATGCTACCTTCAGTCGGAGTTGTTGGTCGTTGAGTTGCTTGCAGAGGTCTCGTAGTTCCCTGTCTGTGCCCTTGAAGTTGGTGGCATGGTCACAGAACAGAGCAATTGGTTTGCCTCGGCGGGCAACGAACCGTTTCAACGCTGCGATGAATGCTTCGGAGCTGAGATCACCAACCAATTCGAGATGTACTGCCTTCGTTGCCATACAGACGAATATAGCGACGTATGCTCAGATCGGTGGAGATGGTTTCGTTAGACGTACTGGTACCTTCAGCCAAACGGGACCACAGAAGTCAACGCCCGTGTTGAGAAACGTGTGTTCTGCTTGTGGTCGTGTGCGGTAACAACGCAAGCAGGATTTGACGTGTCTCCGTGCCAGGTTACGGAGGTTTAATGGCCAATATTGTTCACAGATGTGTGCGATCATCGCACGCGCACCAGCGTGGAGAAGCTGCTTGTGCACCGAATCAACGAGCAGTGAGGTGAACGGATGCGCTGCAGGCAAAAGCATTGGATGCTTGCGCGTGAACGAGTATGAAGAGTGGTTCAACCGGCCACCGACCAGAAGTACCTTCTTGTGCTTCAAGGAGTTCTGCTGAGGTAAGGTACGGAATAGCTTGTAGGTGGAATCCAGCGAGCTTGGCCCGACAGTACCGCACAAATCTGCGGCAATATGCAGCGATGCGGGTGAGTCTTGTTAGTGACGAGTAGCGGGTGAACAGTGTGCGATCGGGAGCTTCGGTGGATCGAGTGACGGCTGCAAGCGTACGAAGCTTAACCTCGAGAACTTCGGGAGGAAATTCACAGGCGTCTTGGACTGGAAACATACCTGGCCACTCCACTGGATCGGACGTTAACCACGGTGGACCCTTCCACCATAGTGCGTTGTTGACGAGCTCGCAGGGATCGACACCCCTCGAGATGAGATCAGCCGGGTTCTCCAGACCGGCGACGTGATTCCAAGTGCCTCCTTCAGTGAGTCGCTGCACCTCCGCGACACGGCTTGCCACGAAAGTGTTGTAGTTGGACGGTGGGTTGTACAACCCGTGGAGAGTGATTGAAGAGTCAGACCAAAAATAAGCATTAGCATTTATGTTGAGGCTTAACATAACAGTTTGGTACAGTTGGCTGAGGAGGACAGCAGAGCAGAGCTCTAGACGAGGAATTGATAAGGTTTGGATAGGAGTTACTAGGGATTTGGCGGTTAGGAGACCACTTTTTCCGACACTTCTCAAGTAGATGCATGCTCCGTAAGCATTTTGGGATGCATCGCAAAACCCATGAAGTTGCACGTTGTCTCCGGCGCCTGGAGCTTTGACCAAACGAGAGAAAATGTTCCTAGAGCAGCCAGACCAAGTCTGTAGTCTTCGCACACGGTACAGAGTGAATTGGGAAGATCCTCGTCCCAGCTTAGTTTCAACTTCCAAAGTTGTTGGACAAACACTTTTGGCTGTGATGACCACCGGACCCAAGATGCCCAATGGATCAAAGAGTTTGGACATCTCGGAGACGACGATTCATTTTGTGATCGGATTATCAGAGAATCGCTCAGGAACTTTGAACCGGAAGGTATCCGATTCTGGGTACCACAGCAGACCGAGTGTGCTGACGGAGCTTTGGATGTCATCAACTGCTACAATAGGCCTGTCATCCTTCAGGTTGTCCGGGATGTGTGACAACACTTCGGACGAATTCGACGACCACTTTCGAAGTTCGAACCCTGCGGACGCGAGGATGCTCTGCACTCCAGAACGCAGCTGAGTTGCTTCTTCCACAGGGTCAGCACCGCTGAGGAAATCGTCCACGTAGAAATCCTTGCCGATTCGTGCTGCAGCATCGGTTTCGCTCGCCGAGTGATCGTAGGACAATTGCTGTAGACACCGAGTAGTTAGATACGGCGCACATGCGGTGCCGTATGTTACCGTGGTCAGCTCGTAGGGATGGACGTGTGAATCAGTCCTGCTTTGCCAGTACACGAGCTGAAGACGCCTATCGTCAGGATGTACCCACATCTGGCGATACATCTTGGTAACATCTGCAATTAAAGCCACTTCGTACATGCAGAACCTGATGGCAATAGCATATAATGCATCCTGAACAGTCGGTTCCACCATGAGGCAATCATTGAGAGAGATTCCCGTAGAAGACTTGCTGGACCCATCGAACACCACTCTGCACTTCGTGGTAGTGCTGCTCGGCTTGAGCACAGCGTGGTGGGGAAGATAGAATGAGCGGGTATGGGTTTTGTCTTGTAACGGATCTACGGGAACCATACAGCCAAGTTCTATGTACTCTGCCATGAAGTCGACATACTGGGCTTTCAAATCGGGGTTCTTGCTGAGTCGACGTTGCATCCATTGAAATCTGCGAAGGGCACCGATCTCGGAGTCACCAAGTTGACTTAAGACGTGCTCTTTCTTCGGCAGGCGTACAACGAATCGGCCTGATTCGTGGCGGGTGGTGACTTCGGAAAAGTACATCTCGCAAGCTAATTCCTCCTTAGACAGCCCACGGCTTTAAGGGCAACTCTCGACTTCCCAGAATCGAGTCAGTTGTTGGTCTAAATCATCGGTGGTACACAACAAAGCGACTCGCTCAGATCCTTGGGTAGCGGTATCGATGGCGACAGGTCCACTTACTACCCATCCGAGCACGGTACGTTGAAGAACAGGCTGGTGTTCAGAAGGACCAGCATTTACTGGGATCTGTTCTTCCTGCAGAAGGCTGAAGAACAGTTGAGCACCGATAACCATATCGATCCTTTGCGGCGAAGCAAAGACTAACTCAGGAGGGAGGTTCCATTGCGAAATGTCGATTGCCCGAGAAGGCAGATCGTTGGTGATCTTGGAGAGGATGCTGAACGTCAGTGTGTTAGAGTAGGTGGAATTAACAGAACTGAAATCTGCTACGGTGCAGTAGGTACTGTTGACAGTAGAGCCACCCATTCCAGCGATAATTGCAGCTTGCTTTCGTCGGTTCAATCCCAAAATTGCGTTCAGTGCGTCACAATCAGCGATTTTACGACTCGTGAGCGCTCACTCTGAGTGAACGCTCACGAATCATAAGATCGTTAATTGTGACGCTCTCAAAGCGAAATTGACAGGTTTTATGAGTCAAACACATAATTTACTACCTCTTCTTGTTACTTACAAGTACAATATAGCATTATTGCATCTAATGATTGCATAATTCCGAATAGTATTTTTTTATAGCAAGTGAGTGGAAGCAACCCTGGTTGTATGCTTAATTTAAATGTATATCGCTCAACCGGGAAAATTTAATTGGCTGGCACAAACTTGAAAAATATTTATGCAGTTTGCCAAAAGTTTCAATTGCGGTGAAATTACTCATTTGACCTAGTGACCTTGGTCTTATCACGTTCGGCCTAATGGCGTTCAAGTCTAATCATCCATTATAAAAATTGTCAAGCCTATTTTATCGTTTCACGGATATTTAAACGCTTAGAAACAAGTTTCTAATTAAAACATACAATCGGATCAAACATAGGATCAAAGCTCAAAAATCTGAATATCACACAATAGCTTTCACTACGCGTCACGGGGCATATCTATTCCACGTGAAGATTGTTTTACAATTTCTAATTTCAGTGTTAAACAGGCATCGATAAAGTGTAAAATGGTTTCCAACAGAAAACGACAACCCCATTTGTCAACTACTCCGTGATGAATCGTTTTCATTTCTTTGAGGACGTAGCATTGGAAGCCCTTCAATTTTGATAAGCCCCCCTTCCTCCACCATCGAAACGCTCTGATAGCACCTAGACGGAATCCGATCAATAAAGCATGCACTCTGCGCTCCGCACATAAACGATCGCGCCACTGATAACGGTTTGTAGATAGGAAGTGCACTTCCTAGATTCTAGATTGTTTTGTAAACAATCGGATTCGATGTCGTCTATGATTGTCTATTTTTTTCCATATCAATGTGTATCTATTTTCTAACCTAGGTTAGTTTTCCCCGAAGTTGACTGCGAAGCTGATAACGAAGCACTGCGACGTTGGGTAGGTATTGGAGGATTGAATAAACATTGGACATTTGTGCGACCCAGGACGAGCAGCGATGGACGCTTTGATGCCGTTGAATGTCGGGCCGACGCGACAACGACGACGACGACGTCGGCAACCGACCGGCATGTGAGATCAATTCTTATCAATTTTACCGGGATTAGGGCGGAACTAAACCCCCCGAGCAAAGAAAAATCACTTTTCCAGTGTGCTCTTGATTTAGTCCGGGTGGGTTTAGTCAGTACTATCATAGTGGTAAGGGGAGTTAGAGTAATTTTCACACTCTAAAAGTACGGCTCAAGGTTGGTTGGTCCCAAAGAAGGGCAAGTCACACATACGTGTGACTGTGTTTCAGCACAGAATCTAATCCCAGGACTTTGCTGCAGGTCACGAACTTCGTATGGAATTTCGTATCCGATAAATGTGGAAACGAAAATTGATATTTTTGCTGATTTAAAATTGAGCTTCAACTTTCTCGCTTGGTCCTGAGCGAGGGGAGGGGGAGACTAATTCGTAACATTCCATTCTCTGGTACGTCTTCGTTCACTTCTGCAATGCAGCTGAGCAGCATGGAACGGTACAAATCCATTTAATTAAGTGCATACGTCAATATGTACGGGAGCAATAAAATTTCAAACAGACCGGAGACCGGAGAAAGAAGCAAGGTGCCAATGAATCCATCAGCTCTCGTCGGTTCTGAGCTCGTAGATTAGAACGATGGATCTCCTGCCGAAAATATGCTCCCCTAGACGGTGCGGGAAGGAGAATGCACTCGATGAAAATAGGATATTCCTTTTTTTCTTCGGTGGCTCCCCCTTTTCTACCGAGCATTCCGAGTGTTCGTATGAACGCGGCACACGCGGATCGTTGCCTAAACGAGTTTGCTTTAACAACTACAAGTAGACAAGAGAGTTTCGTAGCATCAGCAGCCAGTCGTCGTCAGTACACATTAAGGACATGCGCATATTAGCAAGTCAATAAATTCAACCCCTTGCCTTACCGAGTTGGGGAGAGAGGGAGGAGGGGTGGGGGAAGGAGTGGCAGGACGACGGGCGCCATCATTATCGTCACGTTGTCAGTTTCGAGGTCCTCGAAAAAAGGCTATTAGCTGGAGGAGCGTTATGCTTAACGGTCGGTCGGTGGTGATGGAGTATAAATTCGTAATTTGCAATCGTCACGA